TATGCATGCATAACAATCATAAAAATGTTTTATAAAAATGATCACGATTGGAACATATCTATATATATTGACTGCTCTTTTTAAATGCAGTACTAAACAAGGAGCTGACATAAACAGAAGAAAATAATCTTTGCTTATGTTAACCACGCTATGTTGAATGCATGGGAAAAGTGAAAGCAAAAAAGAAAAAAGAAGAAAAGAATAATCCCTTACAGTTGGCCGGAGAGTAACAGAAAATTATGAGCTGTCAATAAAGTGCATGCAGATGAATGAACGATAGCAACTTAATAGTCCGTCAAAGATTTCCAAAGGATTCAGTATAAGATAACGAAATATATATATCATCGTTATTATGCATGCGAGAGATAGAGAATTCTTTCACATAATAATAAAAACCTGTCATTTTCTGACCTCGTTTCCGAGTAGTACATAACTATATATATAAATATATATATATATATATATATATAATGCATAAGAGATAATTAATCGTAAACTGAGAACGTCTTAATCTTCTCTAAGAATTTCTTATTGTTTATAATAACACAAAGGCTGACATTGCTTTACAGGCGTATAAAGAATTTTTGTTTTCTCTCTACCGTTATTGTGTATTTTCCATTAAAAGTTTAAATCTTTTCATTTTTAATATTAAATCAACACAAGAAGAAAAAAAAGTACACTTATGGAATAAAGATAAATAGAGAAAAAGAGGAAAAATTTTTGCACGAGTGCTATACGAGTTTTGCATCTCAAATTTTACGATATCATAAAAAGAATAGTAATATATGCGTAGCTTTCAGCGACTTGACAACTTACTTAAGTGTAAAAAAAGCTTAAGTTAATGCAAAAATAAAAACGAATATAAAAACATTTTTATCAACGCTATTAACTCACAACAGCTTCACGTATTACGGTAAATTAAATTATGATGTCACACAAAGGTTTTCTATTTTACCTTATCGGACCGAGTGTTGAAACTATTGTACGTCTTCAGCAAAGAAAACAATAACGCATTTAATCGGACATAGAAAAAGACTATTGTGGGTATTTTATGTTTACTGGACATACTGAACAGTATAGGTACAGAAATTATTCAAGCTTTTTTAGTATAGGTAAGCCTGTGCTTTAGAAGGCGAAGAAAATAATATTCGAAACTTCATAACACATGACTTGTTTTATGCGGTAGAGCGGGTCCGCATAAAAAAGTCTTGATTAGAGAACATGTAAAAGCTTTATGAAATAACAGGTAGTGCTTCTTGCTTAGCTTCTCCTTTCACACGCTCTGCCAATCTTTACCGGCATATATTTACTCTTTTGGGATATCTTAGTTGCAAATGAAATTCCAAGATTCTTTTTCTAAACATAGGTTCTGTGATCTTAAGGCCTCCAAATGCTCTAACACATTTTGTTGGGACATCTTAGAGCTAGCTTGGTTTTATACGTTTATTCCTAAGGGCAGGTTATGAAATATTTTTACGTTACGAATGGTTTAGCCTTCTTAACCGCTCTGAAAATCTTTTCATATTCAATATTAACCTTAAGATATGGACTTGGTTATTTGTGGGCATCCCTTTTGCTCCTATAAACTCAGCAAGAATTAATTCAAAGGCTTTGCATATTTTCTAACATATAATATCAAGGTAAATGGGATGATTTCGGTCACATAACCCTATGAGTCTATTTTCTAGACCGAATATTTTAAGTCAGATTATTTTTTTTCCTCAAAACCCATACATCTTTGCTACTGTAGAAGTATGTGCGTGGATGCATAAATACTAAAAAGATATTTTAAAACCTTTTCCTTCCTTATTCAGTACTGCTCAGGCAGAAACACATTAAAAAGCAAAACACTTAAAGCACCTAAACCTCGTTAGCATATTGTTGTTATCATTGAAAAAGTTATCGCTTAAGAATGTTTTTCTTTTAGATTGAAATATTTCCTAAAATTATTTGAATAATTTAAAATTTTTGTTAAACTTGTTCCATCTGAATCATACAGAATAATTTCCATGCTCTCATACAACACATCAAGTATAATTTATATTAAATTTTTGCAGGTTTATGTAACACTAGGAAAAAATTCAGATGCATACAAGGTTTATTGTTTTTTGAGCTTGCTTGACTGTCTGTCTGTCCGGTGCATTGGCTTTTTCTGACCCAAGGACAAACCCTATTGAGAATGGATTAGTTTGCAGTACTTGTACCACCACTTCTCACACCTGGTCTTACTATGAGAAAAAAGCTTTTCCGTATAAATCCCTAAATAATATCGGTATTCGACATTCTAAACTAAGGCCAATTTCTAATATTTTCGTATCAAAATTAGTTCATAATAGTAAAAAATACTCGTAGGCCCATTTTTTTTTTAATCTAATCTCCCATAGAAGGGTTCCAATGAAACGGAAGCTTCCACATAGAAAGAAGCTTGTACTGTTTTGTTAAGGGAGAAAGAAGAAAGTGCAAGGTATTTATCGATCGGCCTTGCTCGCCTACAATGTTTTTACTTGTTTTTAATACGTTATTAAAAATATTTGAAAACTTTTATCATTTCATAGCGCAAATAAACCAAAACAAAATTTGCATATTTATGTTTACCGTTAAGAAATGGGGATACATTCATTTTGTTAATCTATTTATAACATCTACAAATAAAATTATATAGGAATATATATATATATATATGTATATCAATGTTCTCATAAAAATATATATATATATTTTGAATTAGTATGAGATTTGGTAGGCAATTTCAAAACACATCCATGCAGAGAATATTTGTATCGAAAGCTGGAAGTTGACTTTTATTTCCTTTTTAAATTAGAACAATTTACCCAAAAAGTAAATCCCAACATACGTACGACACTCAAAGCTTAATTCCTTATATATCAGATTTGAAAATTCCCAAACCGTAAACAAAGGTTTAATAAAAGTAAAAAAAAAAAAAAAAAAAAAAAATTGCAATTGATTTACGACAAATTAACTAAGAACTTAAGAAGATTACATAGGACAGAGAAAGGAAAATGAAGTGATTCTGTGTAAAATAAATGTACATCAGAATATCAATGCGACAATGTAAAGGACTTGAAACGGAATTTGTTCTTTACTTTACGCAATGGTTATACAAAAACCGCATTAAACCTTCTATACCTAACTACCTTACCTTCCTTTTCTTTTCTTTTCTTTTCTTTTCTCGACTCGAATCTCACAATTTGAATTCTAAAGTAACTTTAGGCAAATTTGTATGCAATAATTCATATCGTTCTTCTTATTTCTATTCACATTGCGATAAACTCGACAACGGTAAACGAGACGGAGGGTAAGATAAAACTAAAGTTAATGCCGATCATATTTTAGTAAAACAAACTTACCAGACATAATCCTAATATAAAGTGGAGTATGAAGTATAAATAGCAATAAATAAACCACGGTAAAGGATACCGTAATGAAAAAAGTAAAGAAGAGAAGATGGAGAGAGAAAAAAAAAAAAGCGCAAGGTAAAGTGGTAGAAATTGTTTGAACAGTTTAAATTTCCACAGTAATTGTTGTGAAATTATGTACACTTCAAATTAAGGGAAAATTGATTTGCGTAAATGTTATACAATTTATATATATACATATATATATATATGTAGAGTTTTGTGTGGGAATTCGTGCAAGCGATGACATGTTTTAACATGCTTTATGTTGTCGTAGTACCGTTTTAAGCATAACCACTATCACAAACATGTTAACAAGAGAATTTCATTACCTAACACAAAACTCTATACTATCATACACACACATCACCATATCAAACGCCCATAGATCTTCCAAAAAAAAAAAATAAATAAATAAATAAATAAAAAGGAGCAAAAAGGCAAAACACACACACTCCCATAGGCGAACATTCATAGAATTACGGAAGCAGGATGTATGCATACATTCCGCTCTCACTCTCGCTCTGTCGCTCTCTCGCCGTCCCACTCGGCCCACATACCATCACTTTACCTAATTCTATCCCGCTCTCTCTCTCTCTCTCTCTCTCTCTCTCTCTCTCTCTCCTTCTTGCCCAGTTTCTCTCTTATCCCATTTCCTTCAATAAATTGCACGCTAACTTGTCTCAACTATTTCAACGTTAAGCCAGGAGAAACAAAGGAGACAAAATTCAAACTGACTGACTGACGGTTTTCGTTTCGCAGGCATTACTTCGCTTTTATTATAGATTGGACTCGAGGGAAATATAGCAAATGGGTGAATAGTTGATTTTTTTTTTCAACGTTTTGTTTTAGGTTTTTTTTTGCTTTTTTCTTCTTTTTTTTTTTTTACTTTTTTGTATTCCATTCCTACCGCATTTGCGTTCTGTGGCATTCTATTCTTTTTGCCATATTATTTTTTATGGTCTTTTGGTTTACTAAAGTTGTTGGTTTCCTTTTTTTCTATTTTCATTTTTTCAGTTCAGCGTCAGTCGAATAGGAACTAGTAAGCCCTGGCAGAAGCAGCAGTACTACCAGCAACACTCTGGAACGAGTTGATTGTGTGCGTTCCTCATTTTTTTTTTTTTTTTTTTTTTTTTGTGCTTTAGCCCCAATATATTGTATTTAGTTGCACGCCCAGCCACATACCCATGGCTGCTCAGCTGTTGGTTACGTTATTCAAATGAAAAGGTCTTTATCCGTTTTTTCCTTTATTTTTTTTTTTTTTTTATTATTTATCAATTGTGTGGATTTACATTTCGAGTTGATTTCGCAATATATTTTTTTCTTTTTCTTTTTTTTTTACTCGTTTTTTTTTTACTGTTCATAATTTTCATTTTATTGCGTTTCTTTCATTATACATGTGTATATATAGTGCATACAGTTTTATTACTGTTGTTAAATACATTTATTTTAAGGGGCACAAAGCGGGTGTCTGAACAAGCGCTTAGCGTTCCTAGCTGTGCCCCTAAATAGGGATTTTAATGAACTGTAGTTATAAAATATGTTAAAAGGAAAGAAATTTTATAAAAATAAAGAATAACTTACCTCTTTCAGCTCCGGAAATATCTTTTGCGTAACCTGCAATTGAAATAGGAAACGGAAACAAATTATTAAAATATCTCAAAGCATAAATTAAAACAAAATGCAAAGAACTTCATTTGTAAAGACGAGCGAACGCTTTGTTTACGTTCAACGTTCAAGCACATTGGTAAGGAAATATGCGAAAAGAAAAATTATTAATTAAAGTTAAGAAATGCTTCATTCACTTGTTAAAACATATATACTAGCTATCGCCTCGCTCTTCATTAATTGAATTTACATCGCAAATTACAAAGGTTGCCATTTAAATGTTGCTTAAAGCAATGATTCGTTAACTAAATCTACCAACTTGTGAATCGGTTTTTATGTTCAATGGACTTAAAACAAACAAAAGACCTTAAGATACGTCGGCCACCGATTGGTTAAAATTTTATACATTCATTTTCTAAAAACTGTTGCTCTTTCACATTGAATGTTGTGTGGCAGTAACGTAACGTGGCATCAAAATCATAAATGGATCGTACGTAACCTTTGCCAAAAATTTATATCGCTTCTTGTAGTAGGCGTAAGAAGATTTCTGTTATTATTTTGTCTTGCTCGGAAATTTCCTTTTTATCAAACACAATATTTAGGACCACTGGAATCTTGGGCAATGCACTTATGATTTTAGTGTCCCTTTAGTCACACTTAATGGAAAACAGAAAAATTCTTCTTGAAATTAATAGGTGTACGGACCAATTCCTTTCAGTTTTTGGTAAAATTCAAAATTATTTAAAATATAATCGCAACAAAGCTTAATAATCGAAATATGCATTACCATTAGCTTATGCCTTTTGCCATTTGTCGGGTGAATGCCATTGATGCCCACTCGGTAGAAACTTTCCCGTTTACAGGCGAAATCGCCATCGACCTATTCTTGTACATTTTCAATGGCTGGTCTGCTATATATAAAAACGTCGATCTAAATAATTGGCAATCGAAATAGACCAGATCTGGGACATATAGCGGATGCGATAAAACTTTTTATCCTAAATTGAAAAGTAATTCATTGTTCGTTTTTGCAGAAGACGGACGGACGGACATATGCGAATCTTCATCGTTTTCACGATTAAAATTTTTTAACGGACCTTAAAGGACATGCATATCTTTACACTTTGATATATACCGAACAGCAGCTGGTAAATAATTGAAACTTAATTCCCTTCAACAGGGATATCTAAGTTGTTATCTATGTCTGAAATTTCGGGTAAATTGAATGCGTCAAATACGTTTTATGAGCCAAACAATTTTAGCGGTAGGAATTTTTTTGAACATGTAAAACTTTCTTGCCAACCTTTTAAAAATAAACAAGTTTCTAGTGTTAATTTTGGACTTACAAACTGCCGTTGGAGTTTCTTTTTTTTTTTTTTGCAAGATACACAGTGCATTTCAAACAAATCATTTTTACTCGAGTTTCAATCTATGTGGCATATATCATATGCAGGCTTAATTTAACCGTCTAGTACCTACTACAGATGAAAATAAGAAACACAAAGCAACAGAGAAATTGTACTTTGCTTGAAGCGATTTCCTAATAACTAACCGCTGGTTTGTGTTGACACCAAAGTAAATAGAAACAAGAATGTGATATTCGGCTGAAACCGAATCTTGTATACCCACCCATCATTCATTTCACTGGACCAATATACAATTTTATCCTACGTATTATCCTATTATCTACGAGAAGGTTAAGTAAAATTCGTATTGTGACTTGTTATTACCAGATCAATATTTGAGTAGATGACTAACAGATTTTGTTTAGAATAAAATGAAAAAAAAGTAAAAACTTTGATCAATTATTTGAGGGAATGGTCCTATTTATGCACAGAATAAGTTTTCGCATTCTGCCTTGTTCCCCTTATAAGTAGCCGATTTTTTCAATTAATAAACATGAATAATAGGACCGCCCATGAATTAAGTTTGGAGAGTTTTTTTTTTTTGGGTGCTGCAAACATTATAACAAAATGAATATAATCCCATTCTTCGATGGTAGTTATAAAAATGTTGACCCAATTTAAGCGGTAACACCACCGCAATGGCCTACAAAAAAAATGCAGAGTTATGTCAACTATTTTGGGATGAGAGGAAGGCTAGCAGAATAATAGCCTTCAGGTATGTTATTACATTCAATAAATGAAAAAAAAAGAAAACGTTTTTTAAAAAATATTTTTTAAAAATGGCAACGACTGAGGCGTTTTCGCGCGATCTCTTTAATTGAAAAGGCTGTATGGTCTATGCTCTTTTTGACGCAAATTTGAATCTAAAGCAAAACGTATTTAATATATATAGAGTGAGAGTTTCTATGTGATATTTAAGGGAAAAAGGTTGTATTTTCGACTGAAAACACAATGTTTGCAACAACATATCGAAAAATCGCTGCGCGCTTCGTCAAAAAATGTTATTTCAAAGAAAAGAACAAACAGGATTGATTTTATCGGTCGGTGTTGAAATATCCCTTTCCAAGGTAAATACGTTTGCAATTTTAAAACGGGTTATGGAAGTGAAGTTTTTATTTTCTTGATTTACTCTACAATCACAGAATCATAAAAATGCCTTTTCAACCTCAAATATCTTTTTTCACTTTATTACCTCGATGATTTTTTGCTACAAAGTCACTATTTTGCTGCACCCGTCAAACACAGAATGAAAGGGAAAACGACAGGAAAATTTATGATCATATAGCCGAAATCGTAATCATCTACAAAATCTGCAACCTGCAGTTTTCGCTTCTTGGCTGAAGCGTTCAAAGCTTTTGAATTGCTCGCTGCCTTATATTTATCCGTCAGTCGTCTCCGTAAGACTGTTTTTAGATGAATATAAATACTTTCCAAAGATATCGGTTCATCTATTAGACAAGGTAGAAATCACGACGTAAGACATTCGTCCACAAATTTTCAGCAGGGACTCATTTCACACAAGTGTTATTTCCAAAGCCCTCCGCTAAAACGCCCTTTTTCTTTTTAGTTAACAAATTTGTTCTTATATTTTATAAACGGGTCAAAGCATTTATTGAGGCAATAAAAAAGAAAAAAAAATTTTTTTTTTTTTTAAATATACAAATGAAGTTACCCCTTTTAACGAAACCTTAAAGTCACGATAAGAAAATGCAAGAAAATTATGATTTTTTCCGTAATTGCTGGCTTATAGTAAACACTAGATTATAACAATGCATATCAAGTAATATGAACATTTACTATTAAGGGCTTATCCTGTATAACAGAAAAAAAGCAGAGCGCAAGTTTGCAAACCAAAATTTTATTTATTAATATTAAACATGCCACGAGGGATCCAATGACGCTTTTCTAAACTTAAAGCCAATGTTTGTTGTGTCGACATCAACGTCACGATGACGATGTTTTCAATTTATTCAATATATTTTTCAATGTTCACGTCACTATTGTTAATATTTTTTATTGAAAAGTTATGCAACTTCGATGAAATGCTTATTTGATTCCAAGAAGAAATTATATGCTAAGCCTATAATTATAACGAGATATTTAGGAGATTGTGCTGCAAAACACTTAACTATTTATAATAAAAAATTTTGATTGCTCATTAACGATTTGCTATTGCATCATAACTCATCCCTCTTACCTGAAGGGGGATAAGCTGAAAGCAAAGGTAATATATAATAAAGATGAACGATTTGGTGAAGAGGAGAATACATTGAATAAGCGAAGAGGAGAGAAGAGAATAAAACTGCTGTAGAGTTCCAAAAGTGAAACTGAAGGTCTCATTTGAGTTGGAATAGGAGGGAAGTCTCTAGTTCTGACATAAATGCAAAAAAAAAGCTTGGCTCCTCAACCTAGTATCCTTGAGAGCTTGATACAATCTTTTTACCGATATTCAACAACTTGAAAATTATTATTATATGGAGGACAACACAGGTTCACAAATCAGTTCTCAAGCCCAAACTTTACCGGTTTCTTATTAGCGTGTCTACGCAATAGCATGCCTGAGGAACAACTTGAACTTTATTCCTGTTTGGTCTGCTATTCATTTAGCAGCACGTGCAACCTTTTTTAAACTCTGCTAAACATAGTTTTGTTTGTTGTGAAAGAACGGCCAAACACCTGCGGATCAGAATTTAGATTGACTTTGATATTGTTTTAACCTCAAGATTTTTCAAGAAAATGAATTGCAGCATGCAAAAGTTAAATTTTGGCTATGTTTACAACAACAATCGCCCTCTACTCTGTACCATAGTACATTACATCGTATTAACAATTATATTACGGAAAACAGAACGAGGATCAGATGGAAATGGAGAAGGAAATAAGAGTCATTACAGCGACACCGGAGATCCCCCATATGCAAAAGCGCGTCCGTTCCACTTCTATATCCGTGGTGTGGCCTTTTCTATGGCTTTCATGAATGCCGATGCTGCAGTTCTCGTTTAACTGCGAGCACGAAAGTAATGATCATCGTACTTTAACCGTCACATTAGGTTCTGAGCTTTAGATGGTTGATATAGATATGGCAAGCGAGACGCACCTAAACAAACAGCAGTGCCGTACAAGCTGTCCACAAAATTGGTTCGATTTCTTTCATAGTCAATATTCTTAACTTTTGCCATAGATATTTCTTGTTGTCTTTCTGTCTATGAAACAATTTTACAAAGTCAAGTATTCCTGAGGACCACTTGGTACGATCTATATATTGTTGCAAAGCATGTTAATCAAGGGCTCGGACAATACTAGCTTAAATTTTTTTCTTTATCTGACCATAGTGGCGATCTCCCAACTATTGCCTTAGTAGTACTGCATATAGATGCAATGCAATATTGAGTTTGATCATACCCGACTGAAGTAAACACTCGCTTTTTCAGAGCATTTCATTTCATTCACACTAAGTGGATTTCGTAGAAGTGGCGAAATTTATGTCTCTTTACTTGCACCTAAAGAGCACATCCTTAATAATGCTCACCCTTTGCGCTAGTCCTTTAAAAATGGAAGTAGTTAAGCTATTGATTTGGAACAAAAAAACATTATGCTGTTAAT